ACAAACAGCATTGATAATTTTGATGGAGAACAACTGGATTATGATGTGTAAACTTGAGGAGATATTTCAAGTTTTCAATCTTTTGGCCATTTTTTTTAATACATCGATATTTTTACATAAAAGGGAGGGAATGAGTGTTCGGCTAAGTCATACAATATGCAATCTAATTTGGTATCAAATTCGCCATCCATGAGATTCAAACCTAAAACCTCTCACTTTTAAATGAAGAGGAATACCACCAAACTATAGTAAGTGACGTGACAAACATCTATTGTATATCATACTAAAGTCAAAGGGATAGAGAAGTCACGATTTAAAATTGAAGAAAGAGAGGGGTGCAGGTATGCAAATTTACAAAATCAAACCAAAACAATCAACGATGAGTCACTGGAGATTTGCTCTGCTGCTCATCACAGGACAAAAAATGGTTGAAATTTTAACCGTTCACTCATGGAAAAAATTGCGGGCAAAAATTTCCGTGAGCCAATGATCATGTTTATGTACTTTAGTGTTTTGACAAAAATTCTGAAAGGCCTTAGGCTAAACCAAGGGAAAAAAAAAAATTAAACTCATTCGGCATAATTAGAGGGAATAATACTTGTGATTAACAATGAACTCTAAATAATAGTGCAAGTTAAACACATTTAGGCCTGGGCTCTAATTTTTTCAAATTGCACTATCAATCTATGTTGTGGGTTATGTCAATGTTAGTTGCTGTGATAAAGAAAGAACTCTAAACAATACTTGTGATTAACATGTAGTCAATCTTAATCCAACTTAACTTTCCATCCTAAATTTACTCATCTCCAAGGCCATTTTAAGACATTGAAGCTTGTTCGATCTTTAAACAATGTTTTAATTGACCTTTTCACGATTTTGTATGAGGCGTAGACAAACTAATTAAAAAGAAAAAGTTTTAGATGGGAAGTTTGATAGGACGGAGATTGATGAGCAGTTTAACTGCGTGACTGACATTGACGTATAACCCTCAACTCGTTTATTTATTATTAGAATTTAGCCTTATACAGTTGTAAGTAAATATCATATCACCAATCACATTTTTCATCGCAGTATGTGATGTAATTTACATTTCTATGTAAGCGGTGTTATTGATGAATATGATTGCTCGTTTACCATTACTTATTTCTCACAAATAGTGTAACTCACATGTGAATAACCATATAGTCAAGTTATTTTGAATTTTATGATCAATCTTTGTCTTGGCCTAGAAAAGTTAGAAGAGATATATTAATACTCAAGACTTGTTAGAGCCAAATCTTTTCAAATTGTTCATGTTTTTGGTGCCTTTGGAGCCATGAACACCTGGCTAGCTTTAGAATTTAGACCAAGAGTGGGTCCACCAAATTGGAAGATAATGCTTGTAATTGTCAAGTGTAACTTACCTTAAACTCAAAACAATACTACAAATAGGATTTAATTAATACTGGGGCAACATAGAGGTGGCCAAAGAAAAAGAAAGTAGCACAAATGGCCAAGTAAATTACGAGGAAAATGCTTTAGAACCAAACTTTTCTTTTAAGATTTTATTCTCTTAAAATTTACAGTATAAAATTTAGTAGTGTTTAAGTAACGTTATGTAAGAGAGTTTCAAGGAAAAAATTGATTCCATGAACTATTTCCTACATATTGAGGTAAAGAAAAAAAAGAATTGTATTAGCATTTTGAAATCTTATTCTACATTTCTTACAAGTGTATTTTTCTTTTTAATTATAGAAAGTTTAGAGTGCATAATGAGATTTTTGGAGTGCTAATAGTAGTTTAAAAAAATGTGTTGTTTTCGCATAATATATGAGTGATCTTTGAATTAAATAACTAAAAATAATAATAAAAAAAATAATTGAAGACATTGGAATGGGATTAAATTGGCATATAGATTGGTCAAGTTAGCATTGTTTTCTAATTTTGATTCTTATTAGTTTGAGGCGCCCCCAAACTTAGTATGGGATGTCCCTATTTCTCCTCTTACACACCCATGCTTAAATATAATTAGTTATTTCTGTTTAATTTATTCAGTCAAATGACTTGAAGATCAGCTCCCTAAATAAATAAGGGTGTGCACAAAGCGAAAAATGTGTGCACAGTAGGGAAATGAATTTTAGCACCTATTTTCTCCTCTTGCACCCTCGTGTTTATTTTTGTTTTTTATTCTCTCTTAATCCACTTCAAAGACTAGAATAAACCTTTTATATAGGTAGTAAATGTGCCTAGAAATCATTTTCTTAAAATGAAGAATTACCAATAGAGAAGGTAAAATTGAAGGAGAGTGCAAATGACGCATTATCATAGTAGTGGAAAGTATTCAGGCCTATGCATTTTGGTGTGAGTTTGATCCCTACCGACTCCCCTTCCCCCCTAACAATTAACTTCTAACCTACTAACGCTATCGGTCAACTCAAAAGTTGAAAGAGAAGTGATTTTTCCATACCTTTTTTAGCCTATTGCATACTTGTTTAATCTTAATCGTTGATTTAATTTGACATATTCAATCGGATAACCATAAAAAAAAAAAAGTGTGTGAAAAAACAGGTAAGTAAAATTTAATTCATTTCCCAAAGTAAAACTTACCTTGAGCAAAATTACAGGTCAAAAGAAAATTAGAGGTAAAAGTGATTTATGAAAAAAAGTCACAGCCAAAGTAATGGTCGTTCATCTCACAATATTAATATTTTTACGAGAAGTAGGAGATTATCATAGTATTGAGAGCGAGCAAGCATGTGCAGGGTGTTCTAATAATTAAGGGGAAGTGGGTGGTGACTATGAGGTTAATGCACATGATTACTGCCGCAAAATCCGGAACATGCTTCGTTCCTTTCCAAATTTTTCTTCCATTATTTCTTCGAAAAGGGGGACAACTCCTTTCCAAATATTTCTTTGATTTTGTAGTTTTTAAATTTCCTGTAAAAAATTTTGCTGCATATTTATTTTCCATGCGCATTAAGAAAATTACTTCTCCACTAGCGCATGCGAGGGACTTTTTTTTTTGAACTACGGACACTACATGCTTCTAAAGGCGTCTTGCATTTTTCTTTGTCTTCCATTAGTTTGCTCTAAAAACATAAATACAACAATATTCTGCTTTTAAGGAAGAAGGATATTCTATTATGAGCGAGTATTGAGCTGAGCCATCCAATGAGCTAGTCATTAATCGGATTACAAACTTAACACAAGTAGAATACGTCTATGTGAGTTGAATATGAGATCTTTTACTTACGAGTTAAGATAAATATCAATTTATCAATAAACTAATGTGCTAATTAGTTTTGTTATAATTATAAAATAAAAATAAAAACATTTGCAAAAGCTAGCCAACCATCAAAAATAGATATACAAAATCAATTAATTGTTTATTTCACAATTAGACTTCTATATGATATTGACATTTTTTTTTAAATATATATTTGTTCCTCCTTCCCAGCTGCTTCCTTTATAAAATAGAAAAATAATTGCCGTCTAGCTTACAACATTCCAACCACATGTGATCAACTCATTATTTTTATATTTTGTAACAAAAAAAATATAAATTTTGTTGCGGTGGTCAATGGTTTTCTATTATCCATTCTATAAACTCTCAACCATTAAAAACAAAAAATAATTTATGCACTTTTTATGTTCTATACATTTGTATTTATTTTTGTCCACTAAAGTATTTATTTTTGTCCACTAAGTGTCAATAATTATATGAGGAAATTTAAAATTAAAAAGTAAACATGAGCATGGATGAAGAGAAAAATGGTATAATTGAAAATCACGTCCTAACTATTGTATGCCATTGCAACAATCAAATACATATTAAGATATAGTCTCGTTCTCTTGGTCGCTTAAGGTCAAAATATTTATGGTCACACATTGCTAAATTTGATATAAAAAATGGAGATTAAAACACTAAAAACACATTATTCATTCTCCATCCTTAATATCAAATAAAAAAAAATAAGCGAGTATATAATCTTTTTCTTTCTTTAAAAAGGAGATCAGCTGGTGGCTTTGCTAGTCCATCATTGTGGACGTCAGGAACACTCACAGAAGCATTTCAATATACGGACAAGAGCGGATGGAGGTCTGGGACACAAAACTACATCAAACCCTGGAAGCATTATTAATATGATATCATATTGTAAGCCCTAAAACAACTACTGAACTAAATTAAAAACATAAAATATAAATTAAATCGTAACTTCATAAGCCAACAATAACGTCAGCAAACATAATACAAAAAAACCCCCAAACTCAAAAGTCTTAAGACTCATAATTGTTTACATCCAATGCAGAAACCAATGCAAAAGCAAAAACAAAAAAACAAAAACGTAAAAAAACTTGTTCTGGTTATAATTTAAACAAATAATTTGCAATTTTGATAAGGCAACATCATTGAAGTAGCAGCAACTGGTATGGTATCCCGCCGGTAGACAACATTCCATACCAAAGCCAACCGTTATGAATTGGTTCGGTCTTATTACCAATCGATTATGAAGATTTACCAAAATACTATCATATTCGTACCAATATGAACTAACTAGTAAGATTCGGTCTGTATATCCGTAAATAGAAAAAATTTCACCCTTGCAAAAATATATCATATAAAATACAGATCTAAAATTCATCTCATATTACAGAGCCATCATGATTGAGTGACTGTATATCACCTAAGTGACTTGAGAACATTTTGTTTAAAGGAAAAAAAATAATATAACAGGGATCACCGACTACAGCGCAACATTTGAGCGGTCACGTAATCATTCCGTCCGATCCATACCCCATCAATGCAACCCACCTTCGTACTATGGTCGCATCACCCCCTATTACAAAATACGAGATATTTCAGTCCCAATATATCACATCACGAGATATCGTAATACCTGAATTTACCATTCACCGGCTTCAGTTAACTGGGAAGCAAGTGTTACTGCAAAAATTCGAACATCACACGACACCAATACCCACTACTCAAAAAGCAAAAAGCAAAAGAAAAATCCAAGACCGCCATTGTCAAAGAAAATAGTCTCTCTCTCTCTCTCTCTCTCTCTCTCCTCCGAGTAATTTTGTTATCCATTTTCCTTTTGCCAAAGCTTTTAGTAGCAGCAACCAACCAAAGCAACTGCATTACCATTGCTATTACCAAACCTCCCTTTGAATCCAAGTTTTAAGTCCACAACTCTCTGGGGTAGTGGTATCTTTCATCTTCCAGATTTTGCTTAGTTTGGTCACTGATTTGCTCCGTATTTTTGGTGGGTAGTTGCCAAAATCTTGGATTTGAGACTTGGAATTATTTGCTTCGAGAAATTCACATCCTTTTCGTATCTGGGTAGCATTTCTTTTTCTACTTTGTTGGGTGGTAAGTACATTTTTACAGTATTAGTAAGGCTTTATTCTCTCATAAAGTTTGAAGCTTTAGGCCATTTGGGGTTTCTTTTTCCTTGGGTTTTGAGTGATGGGTAGATAACCTCTTCTGGGTTGTGTTTTTCTTGAGAAACTAGGAGAAAAATGAGAGGTTTTGCCTCCTTTCAGCTTCTGTGCTGCTTGTTATCTGGGGTTCTTTTTGTGGGAGGTGAATCTTTTGGTTCACATGAAGGTATGTGTTTCTGTGTTCTCGCTCTGTTTCTCAGATCTTGGTTTATGCAAATCTCTGTTTGGTTGCTGAGAAAATGTGGGGAGAAAAGTGAAAATGATTGTCAATCTTGGGTTAAGTGCTGTTACATTGATTGAACTAAGTTTCCTGTCTTTACAGTTGATGGAGAATTGTACAGGGTTCAAGATTGTGATTAATTTCTTTCTTAATTAGCAGAGAACGAGTGCTCTTGGAGTAGGAGTAGGGTGAGGGTGATTGTGATGCTTAAATCACTATCTAATCGAATATAATCGCATTGCTAGTTTGATTGAAGCGTTCAACTAGATTAGCTCTACATATGAAAAAAATTAAGAACAAGGTGTAAAGTGTTTATATTTTTTTTCCCATTTGTTGTTTTAGTAGAAATTCTTCTGAGTGAAAAATGGATTTTGCACAGTTTGGGCCCTTACAACGTTTAAGGAAGCGATATATGAAGACCCGCATCTGGTTTTGTCCAATTGGAATGCCTTGGATGCCGATCCTTGTGCCTGGTCTGGCATCACATGTTCTGTGGCTCGAGACCATGTTATAAAAATGTAAGATATGATCTTGTCTATATTAGTGCTAAATCATAGGATATTATTTCCAGTTTGTTTTCGATTTCGAGAGCAGGCTTTTAGAATGACCGGTATACACTTTGCTTTTTGCAGTAATATTTCCAGTTCATCAATAAGGGGATTTCTTGTACCAGACTTGGGTCAACTCAGCCTCTTGCAAGAACTGTATGCTTCCCGTCTTCCCACCTACCACAGTGACTCTGAAGATATTTAACCTTAATTCCAATCTTATTTGGTTTAAGCTTGATTACGTGTGTCTTGTTGTTTTACAGAACTCTGCATGGGAACAGGCTGCTTGGGATAATACCTAAAGAGTTGGGCTTGTTAAAATACCTTACGGTCTTGGACTTGGGGGCGAATGAACTCACTGGTCCAATTCCTCCAGAGCTTGGGAATTTAACCAGTGTTGTGAAAATGTACTAGGAATTTCACATTCATTTTCTGAATGATCATTTGTGGGTTGTTTGGGATTTCTCTTATTGTGGGAGTTACTTTTGTTGCAGAAATCTTCAGTCAAATGGGTTGTCTGGTCGGCTACCTCCTGAACTTGGCAATTTGGGACACCTTGAGGTACTTCGTTTAGATAGGAATAAGCTTCAAGGAACCGTTCCAGCCAATGGAGATACAGGACTCCCATCTAACGTACATGGAATGTAAGTTGCAGAAGTGCTACAGTATTGAATAATTCGTGCAGCTCTGCATTTACACAAACCGATGGTTTTAGAGCCAACAATAATTTTGAATCCTCAAAATTATCATCATAACATTAGCTAAGCTATTCAAAATTGAGATAGAAAAGAAAAATGTGTCGATGGCCATACTGCTGTGTTTCTTGCATGCATTGTGAATCATTGGATCGCCAGCATTGTATTTAGTACTATGTTGTTGAAGTAGAAAAGATGAAGACGTTGAAATAGCAGTTTTGAGATAAATAAGTGGGGATTAAAATTCAAGGGTTAGCGAAGACTTTGTTTAAATTTGATTTGTCATAAAGATTTTGAGAATTTTATGGACCTTTACTAGGAATTTATTTCTCATAGTTTTTCTTTTTCTTCTTCAGGTATGCCTCAACTTCAAACATAACAGGCCTCTGTCGATCATCTCAGTTAAAAGTTGCAGACTTTTCGTACAACTTCTTTGTTGGTAGCATACCTGAGTGCTTGGAGTATCTTCCCAGGTACCGTCCTATACAAGGACGCATCATGTGTAGGTGGTATTATTGTTTGTTCATGTCCAGTATTAATCAATCCTAACCTGTTTAATTATTGTGTCAAATCTTAATAATTTTTGCGGCCTGTTTGATACTAACACACCTGCTTATTGATGGGGTCATGTTTGGGTTGACAAAATACTCTAGCCTTAGGGCCCTGTTATCTTGAAACCAAATTGTTGCTTTCCCATAAAATCATATAAACAAGGATTAATGCAATACCATACCAACAAATGTAGGAGGTCATATATCCTTTTCCTACATTGTTAGTTAAGCAGTTTGTTTTGTCAAAATTGTGTTATTTTCATGTTTTTGTCAAGTACTATTCTAATCTCCTAACCTTGTATCGCACTCGCATCATTTTGAAAATTGTGTTTGTTATCCTTGATTGTATGCAACTTGTGAACCTTCATTTACTCAAGTTATTCCTTGCAGGACAAGTTTTCAAGGAAATTGTCTCCAGAAACAGGATCCCAAGCAGCGTCCTGCAGAACTATGTGGTATGCATGATTTTATATTTTTTTGAAGGCGATGAACTATTTTTAGATATACCATACATGCTTGGTAGTTTCAAGAACTTTTATAGTGGACGCTGAACACAAACCAAACCCTTTAGCAAGTTCAAAAGTGTGAACAAATGTTCTTATGATCCTTCTGAGTGAGCATCCTATATCAGTAAATACTAATTTTGTGATGCCGAAATTGCTTGGTGATCCTAATATGTAATAGGGAAGTTTCATCAACTCGTTGCTCAGTTGATTTTTATAAAACTGAATCTGATGTGTGGTAATTTATGTCAGTACTGACTGTTGTAGTTAGTGACCTTTTCTTTTGTTGGTCCTATGAAGCTGGTGCGCCCCCTTCGAAAGGCCATCCCGGAAGTAACCCACAGCATAAACCTGCTAAAGAGGTCTCCAAACACCGGGAGGCTTCAAAACCTGCCTGGCTTTTGGCTCTGGAAATAGTGACTGGAACCATGGTGTGTTCGCTCTTTCTAGTTGCTGTTTTCACTGCTGTTCAGAAATGCAATAGCAAATCATCTATCATAATTCCTTGGAAGAAATCATCAAGTGAAAAAGCCCATATCGCAGTCTACATAGGTTTGTTCCTTGTTGAACTCAGTGCAATTGAGTTTTTGAATTGTATATAAGAAAGCAACAATTGCTAATATGGTTACTGGTTTCGATACAGATTCTGAGATGTTGAAAGATGTTGCCAGATTCAGCAGACAAGAGCTAGAGGTTGCGTGTGAAGACTTTAGCAACATTATTGGTTCCTCACCTGACAGTTTGGTATACAAAGGCAACATAAAAGGTGGGCCTGAGATTGCTGTGATATCCTTTTGCATTAAGGAAGCGCATTGGACGAGCTATCTTGAACTCTATTTTCAGCGAGAGGTGACAGATTTGGCAAGATTAAATCATGAAAATGCAGCAAAATTATTGGGTTATTGTAGCGAGAGCGCCCCTTTTACGAGGATGCTGGTTTTTGAATATGCTTCAAATGGGACACTGTATGAGCACCTCCATTGTAAGTGAAGATTTTTCTTTAACCGCATTTGATTTCTATAGGTCTCACAGGCTCTAACCATAATTTATTTTGATGCAGTTGGAGAAGGATGCCAGTTAAGTTGGACACGGCGCATGAAAATTATTATAGGCATTGCTCAGGGACTCAAATATTTTCACTCGGAACTTGAGCCACCATTTACCATATCGGAGTTGAATTCTAGTGCTATATATCTTACAGAACATTTTTTACCCAAGGTACGCCATAAAACTTAGCAAATCCCTTAGTTCAGATTTGTTCAAACATGATTCAGATGTATGAAAATTCAACAAGTGTGCGTGATTAATACGCTTTTTTCTACTATAGCTGGTTGATTTTGAAAGTTGGAAGACAATTCTTGCGAGGTCAGAAAAGAACTCGGGCACTATTAGCGGCCAAGGTGCTATTTGTGTCCTTCCGAATTCTATGGAAGCACGCCACCTGGATGTTAAGGGCAATGTCTATGCTTTCGGCATTCTTTTACTTGAAATAATAAGTGGGAGGCCTCCATTCTGCAAGGATAAGGGGTGCTTGATAGACTGGGTAAGTAAATTTTGTGGATGTTTTTGTGTTTTGTCAAATTCTCTTAAGGTAATCTGAGTAGTGTAGTTTATGCTAGTTATGCATCAAACAGCTTAAGGCTCCTGTCTTCTGCAGGCGAAAGACTATCTTGAGCTGCCAGATGTGATGTCGTACGTTGTTGATCCTGAACTGAAACATTTCAGTTATGATGACCTCAAAGTTCTATGCGATGTGGTGAATCTTTGCACCCATCCGGACCCCACCAAGCGGCCTTCGATGCAGGAACTATGCACCATGTTGGAGAGCAAAATCGACACATCAGTTTCGGCTGAGCTCAAGGCGTCTAATCTGGCATGGGCGGAGCTTGAACTGTCGTCATAAATGAGCCAAGTTAACATACTGTAAAGAAATGTACAACCGTAATACTCGCCTTTTCGTTTTCTCAACGTACGTTTTGTTCCTTGTAAATGTTTGTAACTGGAGAGGGAGCTTAAGGATGCATGAGCAGGACAAAATCTCTTTGTATACCATTTTCTGAACAGTAAAGCCCCAGATTATAGTAAAACTAGAGTTGCTAATCAAGTTTGTTCAATGACTCGTGTTTTTAGTCATTAGTGCATTTCTGATGTTCGATATATTATACGTGATGGAAGTTATCTGCGAACGTATAGTCTATTAGTATTCTTCTGCAAGTGAGAGATTTTAAGTTTGACTCTTATACATGACGAGTACGATACGAGTTATTATCTTTGCCGCACATAAACGAGTTATTATCTTTGCCGCATTATGTGGCTTCGCTCAAACCCCGCCAACATTGTCGTATCAAAAACTAGACAAACAACTCTGTAAAACGTCGTAGTTTCAAGTTTGGGTATTTTGAAAAAGGAAAGATGAGATATATGTGGACAAGAAGCATGAGATTTACGAAGGGACGTGACCCATGCCAAGATGAATACTTAATATCAATCCACATCTGTATGGTTTAGATTCTCAAGGCCAATAGGAAAGGATGGAATCGTAATACGTCGTTGTATGGCGTGCTGTAGAAAAAGGCTAATTCAGATAACGAAAGTGTTTGTGACAAAAGTTGACACAATAGTTGGTGTTGGACAAAAATTGCATTATTTTACATGCAATATAATTAAAAAAAGGAGTGGCGAACCATCAAGAAAAGTGATTTTGAGAATATAGTAATTCAAAAGTTAATAAATTATTTGTTTGTCATATTATACAAGTAGATACTTTAGACTTTTCACATTGTTCGGATTGACGCAATTTTGGTTTAACATGTTTGTTTTGGGATCAAAATATATGAATTCCAAGAGAACGACGAGATCTACAGGACTACTTGTTACACAACAAATCCAGTCAAAATTTGGACGAATTCTAGCATTTACTAGCCTAAAACGGTATTTTATTATTTTATTATAATTTTGATATTTGCTTATTTCCTTTCCTTAAAAAATAAAAATTATAGTCACTTAGTACTATGGTTTAGTGATATTCATTTTCACTTATAAATGAGAGGTCTTAGGTTCAATTATAGCCAAAGGCAAATTCGAACCACATTATTGCTAGCCCATTGTGATGCTAAGCCCATCCCCTCTTAGTGTAGATAATATCTCAAGATTTTTTTTTTTATTTCCTTTCCTATTTAGATACCTAGGGTTTCTACAGTTTAGTTACATTATAAATAGGTCATCTTGTCCTCTAAGTTTGTAACAATTCCTATTATTATCATTAAAATCAAGAGGTCATCTCTATTTTCTTTTTGTTGTAGGCATAATTTACTGAACAGTTATGAAGGCCATAGAGAGAGGGGTGCGACAATAGTAGAAAGAAAGAGAGAGATGTGTAATTGTGAGGTGTGTTCTATTCCACCCCATTTTGCCTTTATTTATAGTAGTAGGGAAGGTTAATTCCTTACCTTTTAGGATTACAACTCTTAATAGGTAATCAACTCCTAATATGAATATAAGAGATATTCCTAGATACACTAGGATTTACACAATCACACTCCTAATCTAATAGGACTGCAACACTCCCCTTTGAGTGTGTAAATACTCAAACAAATGGCGCATCAGGTATTCAATGATGAAGTAAGTACGGTTGATGAAGTTGTCGGCACAATGAGTGAATGTAAGTCTCACATCAACGAAAGAATGCATAAAAAAAGTAAAACCCACAAAACCTCGCTATAGTAAAACCCAAGGTGGGTGAAAAACCCATAGGTTAAGGAGAAAAGCGAGAAGTTGCATTAAGTCAAAACTATATGTCTTCTGGATGCATGTAGAAGAGCTCACAAGGGTATGATCAGCCCAGGATGGGTGCCTCGTTAAAACCTAGTTAGGTAGCAAAAACCCAGTGGGAAACATGTTCCTAATCGTAGGGAAAAAAAGTACATTAAGATCAAGTAAGTATACTTCTGGATATTCCATCTGAGTTTGACATAACTTCCAAATGAGAACTCAAGCATTGCATATGATAGTTAGGCGTACCAATTCCTTAGACAAGCTTCTGGAAGGTTGACTTCGGCAATGACGTCGTGTAGAGGTTGGCAAGGTTGTCTGGGATCGGCTTGCATGACTTCAATTTCTTGATGCTTTGCTGATGTGGGTGTAGACGCAAGATGTCTTAATGTTGACTTAGTTGATGTATCAGGGCTTGGTCGGGTTGATACATACAACATAATCTTCATGGATCGTTGTTGGGACTCAACGATGGATGAAAAATAGCAAGTACTTCGAATATGCTTAAACAAGAACTCCTAACCACGTCTCATTTGTGGCGTAGTGAAGTGAAGTGAGTCTTGGAACAATTCGAGGGTTTTGCAACTATGGTCATATCGTGGACCTTCAAGATATTGCGATATCCCTTAACGGTAAAGACATAACCATTTGGGGATTTGCCTTGTGCGGGATTGATAAGTAACCAACGTCAGCATCACAACAAGTCAAACATCATTCCGAGGATCAGGGGGTTGGATCTGCTCGAGATGCATTGGGATTTTCCCTAGTAGTACCTTCAAGGTACGTCTTTAATGCCAATTCAGTAGTTGCGTGTAGGCGCGGTGTTGCATCTTTACCAAGATTAACAGCGAATGAGATGTCCTGTCTAATATAATGAGCTAAGTACAACGAAGCGCAAAGTTGAACTTAGATATGGAATTTCAGATTCCATAACCTCTTCAAGGGTCTCGTTTGCATATAACGTATCGACGATCAAAGGTATACTAAAAGATGACATCTTCGGGATGTAGTTTGACTAGTAAACCAAGGTACCGTCAGAACAATGCTTCAACTTCAGGTCAAGATATAAACAAGTTTTCCTAAGATCCTTCATCTCAAATTCCATCTTCAGGTGTGAGGCAGTTTTCTCAAGCTCTTCTAGAGTCTTAGTGAGATTCGTGTCAACGACATAAACTGTAACTCTAGCAATTCGGAATAAGACTTCAAAGTTCAACATGCAAGGGCATAATTCATATCCCTGATTGATCAAATAATCACTGAGACGGGTATACCACATCTACCAGATTGTTTCAATCCTTAAGTGAATGCCTTAAACGAGTTAAGAGGGTATTCCGTGGTTTGGAACTATTTGAACTAGTCCATGTAATTCTTTGGGAACTTACATGTAAATCTCCGTATCTATATCCCCATGGAAAAAACACTAACCACATTTCATAATGCTGCTATCAACCACAAGACGTTTGAGAGAAACCTTACATCGTAAGGCATGCATCATATCGCACTATTTCATTCATCTGATAATGCTTATTTTCCCACTTGTAACACAACAGGGTTACCTTGGGCAGTGTAGGAACGATAAGTCCAAACAGATTTTGGTAAGGAATTTAACCTGGATTGTAATTTCGGTTGTCCAATTAGTTTTATGTTGTCATTTAATGAGCGGAGCACGATTCGATATCGTCGCTTGTCATTTATGTCGGTAGCTACCATATAAATGAAAACATCATCGATGGTAATCTCAGTTCAATTCCATTAACTTATCCAAACTAGTATACTGAACCAAGAACTTCAAGTCTTAGGAGTAATTCGGATTAATCTCATGAGATGGAAATGATTTGAGACATCGATCTAGTGTAGATTCATTTTGTGCTGTGCCTTCATCTTCTAGGGAAGTGAATTCTACGAACCGAGTGATTTGTAGTGCTCTAGGCCAAGACAAATTGATTCTCTATCTGCCGGTGTACTGGACCGTCTAACAGGGGCGTCCAAATTGTCCAATAGGGGTGGCACACCCTCCAAGGATGTTAACTCAACGTCCATTAAGTACATCTATCCTTGTAGACATGTTTGCAGCTGGTATATGATCTCGTCACTTTAGCCAGATCAGAGGAATGCGTTTAGGGAAACATTCTGAAAGCTAGAATTCATCGCACTTGCTTATCACATTTGTGCGGTATAAGGATCGAGATGAGACATAGTGGGCAACGTCCACGCAAATTCATGCCGTTCTCCAAGAACATTGACATTCTTGTCTCTCCCTAACGGCGGGAATACTGTCTCATTAAATGACAACCCACAAATGAGTGGTAAAGAGATCGTGTGCAAGGGCTCGAAGAGAGCTAGTGTGAAGGAGAATTATAATCGACAAAAATTCACATCTTTCGTTGAGGACCCATATTGGTACATTGCGGTGACACAACTTGGCACATGGAATGCACACCCAAATGCGTAAATACGAAAAATTCATCAAGTTTGTACCTAGTAACCAACTGTAACGTCAAATAGGTTGGGTGGTAATGGGCCTCAAGGTGGACCAACATAGTTGCGTACAAGATTGCATAGCCCTAGGCAAAAAAACTGAAAACTTGGTACGTTCACCAAAATCCAGGCGATCCTTTAAATTACGCTTTATGATCACAAGATGAGGCTATTTGGGGTGAACATGGGAAGTCGATGTTCAATTATAAACCCAAAATACATGCAATACTTTATCGAAAACCATCTATATAAACTCTCCGACATTATCCAGTCTGCCGGACTTTAAGGGAAAAGTAGGGTGGTGAACACTTAATCGGCCATGGGGTTTAGTAGCAATATGTGTGGACAAACATGTGATCAGTTTGTCGATTCATCAACCAAAACCATAAGTATTTATATGGTCCACATTATATTCCATTGAATCCATTGTGAAAATAGAGTCGTTTCGTATCTTTGCGAGGAATGATATAGAAATCAAATTTCTCAATGAGCGGGCTTTGGTAAAGTGTGCTTGTAGGCACAAGATCCTTACTTCGGGTAAGGAGATGCGTCGTGGCATCATTGTTCGACCTAAGTGTCCCAAAAACGGTCGTGCCAAAGCAAGTAAAACTGCTCAATCACCAGGCTCCAGGCCGGCCACATGTGGCATGTTCCCAGTTGGGAGACAACCCATTGGCCTTAATCAAAGTTGCATGCTCATTTTTGGAGGTGGTGCAAAGATATTCCACTTTATTTTCTTTGATGGTTTCATTTATGATCATTGTTCTCTCGAATATCCTTAAAAAAACTCAACGACAAGGAGAATTTAAGGTCCCTTAAATGGTAATTTAGCACCATTCATACAACGAGGAGCATGCCAATGCTC